CCCCCCTATAACCGCCACCACCCCCCAAAAAAATTATTGCGGATTTGGGCTGCTCTCCTCAAGTTGCGCACGACCATGTAATCAGGAAAAAAAATAAAAATTGCAAAGGCAGTCTGCCGACCGCCGACGGGTCCACCTACGGGTCGGCCCGACTGGTAGGCGCGCCTATTGCCTATGGTAGACGTAGGCGGTAGGTGCCAAAACTACCCTGTATATATCGTCATAGCGAACTGCCTGGTGAACCGTAGGCAGAGAGGGAGAAGAGGCCAATGAACGAAGGGCTGTGCCAGATGGTTCCATCGGTGTTTCACCAACTCATCATATTGAAAAAGAGCAAAAGAATTTAATTAAATTCGTGCAGATAATCCAATAGTCGGAAAGATCAATTGCTGCAAAGGAGAGAGAGTTAATGGAAGGCCCATAATTCGGGTTTTTTTGCCGCATCACCATAAGCAATGTCGTCGAAAATTTCGCAAACAAACACTGCAGGCTCATGATACGAACATAAAAAAAAAACAAAAAAAACAGAGGCAAAAAAAAAACGGAAAAAAAAACTCAGAAGCACTATAAATAGTTTAAAAGTTAAAACCCTATTCGGAGTAGCTTCGGAGTTCGTCACAATTTTCTCCGAATTCGATGTTTTTGCCAACCTTTTCCAAGTTTTTCGTTTCTGGTCCAAAATTCTCTCCAAATACGTCGAAACGAAATATGGCAGTTTCGGTGAAAAATTCGCCGGAAATGAGTTCAAATGACACCAACTATTAAGTTATTAACCATTAGTGCTGCAAAGGCATTTAAACAACTGATACAAGGGCAATGATCAGTGAAGGTGTTCTCCTTATTAGGCTTCCTCTTTGATCGTGGGGTGAGAGGGCTAACCCTAAGCTCAAGACACTTGAACCTTGAAGCAAGTTCTTAAATCGTTTCAGCTTGCCATGCCTGAAATGTTTTTGTCCTTTCTAAATATGATATATTTTGTATGTGTGCTGGCAGGGAGTAAGACAGTCAATGGAATTTTGGAAATCGTCAGAGCTTCCAAGGAGACCGATCTCGGGCTCGTCCTCGACCTTCGTAATAATCAGATTGGACCTAGTGCGCTTTTGGAGGTGCGAATGCCATTCTTCTATCTTGGGAGGTGCTTATAATAAACGCAATGCTGTTGGTAGTTGCTCCTACTAGGGGGGTAGCTTCCAAAATTACTTAGTTCATTTGAAGAAACTGAGGGCAAGCACGGAAAAGAAGGAACGGAAGAGAATGAGTCCTAGGTACCCAAATATCACATGGTAAAAGCAGAAGGTACGAAAGAAGGAAAAGATTGGTGCTGCATCCAACCATCAGAAAACTGTCAAGTTCACTGCGAGAACAGGGATTGCTGCAAAACTCCCAAAAAGCCTTTGGTTCATTTGAAGAAACTGAGGGCAAAGCTGGGCAAAACCGCAGAAAATGAAAGGATTCACGCTGCAGACCCCAGTCCCGGTCCCAAGGTCCCAACAAGTCCCAAGTCCCAGGGCCGTCCCGTAGGGTAGGCTGTAGGGTCTAGAGGCGGAAGTGTCGTAGGTCGGTAGGTGTCGGTATCGAAGCGTCGTAGGTCGGGAGGAGTCCATCCGGTACCCGACAAGAAAAGCCCAGAAGCGTCCAGTCCAGTCCGATAGTCCCCAAGTCCAATTTCGCAGCATGTCCTAGGAAAGTCCGGAAGCTACCGGACCGACAAAATGTTTGCAGCAGACAGGCCGCGGCCGACCGGTACCGGTCTGAAGCAGGCCAAGCCAAGCCAAGCCCAGCAAAGCCAAGTCCTATATTTAGCTGCTACAGTGCAGCTGCTCATCACTCGTTCAGTTGCGAGATGCGGAAGCGCTGCTGCTGCTTGTGCATTAAGGCAACTTCGGCACTGTGCGGCCGAAAAAGAAGAGGGCGCTTGAGAGACACTCCATAGCTAGGCTAGCGGTAGAGTAGAGCAGGAGGACGGCGGCCATAGCCGCCAAGGTGTAAGGTACCTGAGTGGGTGTATCCAGGGTAACGATCCAGGGTAGAGAGAGAGAGAGAGAGAGAGAGAGAGAGAGAGAGAGAGAGAGAGAGAGAGAGAGAGA